GCATTTGAATATACGCACTGAACGTAGGTGGAAATGGTCCGTAAAATTGAAAAAAAAAAACCCAGCAAACAAACAGCCGCAACTAGTGAGTAAGTGATACTATGAATGGAACATGTTTGAGCAAGACAATATGATCAAATGTAAGTCAGTCCTAGAGGTCGGAAAGTAGGAAAAGTATCCAAATTGGAAAATGTAGAGACAAAATTGCTCTAAGAAAATATAAAATTGACGAAAATGGCCAGCAAAAAAAAAAGTGCATTGAAGTCTTCATTAACAAATCCTCAAGGAATCAAGGTAGCCTTAAGCACAAACCACAATATAAAGGAAAAAAGAAATTTAGGTAGCCTAAAAAATTGTTAGATTGATATACATTGAGAACTCAGTTTCAGTTGTTTATAATAGTGGTAAGACAGAATTTGGTCACACTGTTTAGTCCACGGCGCCCACGGGAAACCAAAATAGGCCTACATGTAATTTCCTAGAGTCTAGTAAGTGTAGTGTAACCAAAAATTCTCTACTACAGTAGCCTCCGCCTAAGATCCCAGTGCTCGGGAGCAAGGGAAATACGGGATCTTAGCCGACGAAGCCAAGGAAGAATCTACAGTGACCCATGAACTGACGTGACCCCTGGGTGGGTTTATGACATGGCGAGCAAAGAGTGGTCAACCTTGATGACCAATCACAGAAGCATGGTGGCATGAGGCATGCCATAATGTTATATCGTACACTCATTAGCATATCGTCTCGAGATCTTTATCTACGTTTATCCAGTTGCCCCTCCCCTTTACCAGTCCAAAAATTGTAGCCTTCCATCTCTGATTGAGACGTACCATTACGCTGTGACCACACCAATTAAAATTCAGGCTGTCTCGCAAATTCGGGAATAGAGAAAAACTGCCTTCCACTTAAATGGTCAGGGAAGAGTTCACAGTTCGATGTGATCCTGCCTGGAGCGAACTTGTAGGCCTTACCCACCCAGCGAGTGATGAAAGTTCAGGTGGCGAGCTCAGATGCGAGTGCGATGTTTGGGGAAAAGAAACGCCCATCGGTCAGTTCACACCTCGGTGTGATCCCGTCTGGGGATCATTGTACCGTTTCATGGAGTTTTACAACGCTTGTGATCACATTCACGAGAGTGGCTGATCTTTGACGCGACGGGCCGTTCTTTGATCTCAACTTTTAACTTTTGGTTGATCGGCTGTGCCCGCCAGGGTGTTTGTTCCGTAAATTATGATCAGAAATGCCGGCATTTATTCTTTTCATTAAGCTTCAATAGTACTCAAAATGTACATGAAAAATACTCAAAAGTGCTTTTATAAAAAGTATCAGAGTACAGTAAAAGTTCTGGTTCTCAAAATGTACCGGAGTACAGTAAAAGTACCGAAAATTGTAACGTAAGTACAAGTACCGGAGTACTTACAAGTACTCTGTTACAACCAGCTCTGAACGCGAACACTTCGTTTTCACAAAAGGCCTGCACCCACGCACACTTTACTTAGCAGAGAGCTGCAGTAGTTATCACAATACATACAGTCGAACCTGCCCTGACGGCCACCTCTATAACACGGCCACCTGTACAAACGGCCACTTTCCATTTCCCCCCTTGCGTTTTTTCTATATAATTTAACTGTGTAAAACGGGCACCTGTCCAACGCGGCCAACTTATTTCAACACACAACCCCTATCACACTAAGCAATAACACCCGTCTAAGACGGCCACCTTAGTGACTCCATTTCGTTTAGTCATAAATTGTGCTTTGGCCCCTGGCGTTGTGGGCAAGCCGTCACAATTCAATCACCTGTCGTTGTTGTTAGGTAGTCCCTCCAACCGATCATGTTGCGTAGGCCCCTCCTACTGCTGACCAATAGCTACCAATTTTCAGCTGCTGGTGAGGTAAGCGTGTGATCCCTCATAACCCATAAGCCCCGCCCAGAACTTAAACACAAATCATAAGCGAGATGAGTGGTCACTGTTTACCCAGTCTGTAACAAAGTAACAAAGGACGTCAACATGAACTTGTGACAGAAACGTCGCTCGTTCTCTGAGTGGTGGCGACCCAGGAGTTTGTTTTTACTTCGCACTCGGTCTTCCTTGTCTGATACATTTCGTTTTATTGTCACTCTTTTGCGAAATCAGCAACAAAATAAAAATTACAAACAAAATACAAACCACCACCACCAACAACAACAAAAACAACAATGCGGCTACTTTCGATTGGGGCCTCTGATAGGAAAAATTTGTTTTCTTCTTCTTGATCAATCCTGCCTAAGACGGCCACCTGTCTTATACGCCCACTTTTCTCCTTGACAATGGGTGGCCGTCTTACACAGGTTTGACTGTATTTGCTTCCAGTTTCACGTTTTTTGGTCTACTGATGTTGCGTCCAGCCCTCCCCCTATCCCCGAGTGCGTCTTTTTAAAAAATCAATAATCTCCCCCCCCCCCCCACGATTCCTGAGTCCTGTACTTCGCAGCGCTCAGAACGCGCGCAGGTTCATTGACCGGCCACAATGGCAAACCCGACAAACCGCTTGTATAACTTTCTTTTCTTCATGTTGCCCCTATAAGTGACGACACAGTGACAGATATATTGATTTACTTTCATGGCGACACCACGTTTGTAATGCCGAACCTGCATGTTACAATAATTGTTGCGTTATCAGACAATTATTGACAAATTTCTTGGTGGTAACGAAAGCGAAAGTAAAGGCTTACGGGCCGCTCAGTTATGAAATTTAGAGGGTATCATGCTGGTCTATACTATGAAGCGGCTGACCCTAGTGCGCCTTTTCGAAAAAGCGCGAACTTTGCGAACAGAGTTAGAATCTACCCTACTTGTGTGAAAAACAATAATAGTGACACTCTTTTTGGCTGAGTGAACTATCTCTTGAACCTTCCGGTTACCGTGTACGTAGACACTGAGTAGGTAGCGTAAACACGGCCTCGCGGGCACTCGCGGCCTTCCGAACGCGTGGTATCGGTAAAATCGGGTTAATTCCGAT